TAGGGGTATCGTTAATTGTTTAATGCGGACTGAAGTCACCGTAGTAGGGGTATTTCACTAAGTACCCCTTGACGGGGCTCCTCTATACCCCTAGGTATTTGGTGGGGTCCATTCGCACTGCATGTAGGGGTATACTGCTGACGGGTACTTTCAGGGCCCTCGCCGGAGTACAGGTGAACGCCATAGGCAGTGCGACTGTCCTCCCGCCAAGGGTGCCAAAGTACTCCAGACAGCAGTTCTGCGGTCACCTTCCGATGGTGATTACTGTTACAGTGACTGTTACCCCGCAGACGGGTCCTTGTATCGCTCCCCACCAGACGCCCGGGGTGCGGCGCACTCTCGACCTCCTCACCCTTCGGCTTCTCAGCAGGGCCTGTTATGTGGCACTAGACACGATGCAGCTTGAACCACAGCAACAGCCGAGACATTCCCTTACCCGGTCTGCCGCTCTCCCTGCCGCCGTCCTCCGGGTCCGCGTCGGTCGACTCCGTCACGGCCACTCCTCGGTGCGCGGCCGCGACCAGGAGGACGAGGATGAGGGGGATGACGCCGAGCGTCCTCGGCGGTGCCATCGCGGAGGTCGAGCCGCGCGGGATCACGCCGCCGTGTGCAATGAGGCTGCCGCCCCCGGAGGGGATGGCCGGCCGGACGGACTGCTGATGCTGCTGAGCAGCGAGCTGACGAGTGGCGACGCGCTCCCGTTACCCTCCCGGCGCCATTGTTCTCATCATCCGTCGTGCTGAATAAGAAGTGCAATAATGTGTGTACCATTGCTGAATTGGAATGGTCGGGCCAACCTTATAGGGCAGGGTAGCTATACATCAGTGTGATCGTTGTTACCCCGAAGCACCCCATTGAGTGCCCCTTCCAGACCCACCGTGGGACGTGGATCAGAGGCGCGTTCCAATGATGTTTGCCCCTCCATCTCCCATAGTGTAAAGGCCCATCTACAATGAAGGTTGTAGGTCGTAGGCGTAAGAGATGGCCCATAACCATCTCATACGACGCGGCTTCGCCTACTCCGAAAACCTCCATTGTAGATCGACCTTAAGAGTCGTACTGTAAAGCGAGGCGGGGGAAGCGACAAGGCGACAGAGCTTTCGTTCGAACGACTTCACCCACCTCATTCCAGTGGGGGCGATCGCCCCCCCCCCCCCCTCTTTTGTCGTCTGTAGAGAGCAGCCTGAAAGGTAGGCAATTTACGCCACAAAAACCCTTTTTGTAGGCAACCGACAGCGCATCGCCCCCCCCCCCCTGTCAGCCGCGGGGGTAGGCAATCCCATGTTATTGGATTGGGACCCACAGTGTGGGTCACGCCGCACTGAACGTTAATCCACCCCTCATTAAATATGCACTTCAGTGCGCGCCGAAATGACCAGAAAAGGTGACACGATTGGTAGTGACGCGCATTTATACGCGTATAATCGCGCTAAATCCGCATTTAAATTATTTTGACGCGCTGTGAAGGCGTCACCTAAGTGTCACTTTTCCTGTCCATTTCCACACGCATGGGAGCGGATTTCATGCCCTTGGCGCTACGAGGGATTAGCATGATTCGCAGCATTCGCGCTTGGACGAAAGAGTTTAAGTTTGGACGGGGTGACGGAAAACGACTGGTTTATGACTGGTAGGAGACTGGGAGCCGACTGGTTGACGATTAGGTGAATGAAAAATGACTGGGTGACTGGGATAATTGAATGACTGGAACTGACTAGAAAGTGACTGAAAAATGACTGGGTTGGAGTCTGCACACCGATTGGTCAAATTGCGGCTCCCTCGGAAGCCTGCCACACTCACTCGCAGGTCTTTCACAAATACCTAATATTCAACGAAAAACTCCGAAAACTGATGAAAATCGAGATAAAATAATTTCTAGAAATGTGTTTTGGAGCATGGGCGGAAATATTAACATCAGATAAGTGTTTTCTGTCCATTAAAAGCACTCCCGAAAGCGCCTCGGGCCAGGGCCAGTAGCCGCTCCGTAGCGGGCGAGGTACTACCCTGGGAGGTAGGCAGCCCCCCATCGCCCGGAGGGAGCCGTGGCGGGAGGCGTTCCGAGCGTGTTGGGGGGGAAGTGGACTGGACAGTTCTGTAAAACTCTTTCGTTCAAGATTCGCAGGGCCCCCTTCTCACGCACAGTATCGCCACCCTCGATGATAGAAACAGAACTGTGCTATGTTCCTACCCTCTAAGCGCTAAAGTCACTGGTGGCTGCGCGCCGGCGGCGTTCACCATGATATATCTTATCATGGTTCTTGTCTGGTTTGGTGAACGTATATGCTCATGAGGTCATCACTTTCGCACCGCACGCCGAAGGTATTCGAAGATTCCCCCATTTCCCCACCCCTACCC